TCATTCAGAGTTTCTATATCTTCCTGGTTTAACCTAGGAGGGTTGTATATTTTCAGGAATTCATCCATCTCCTCTAGGTTTTCTACTTTATGCACATAAAGATGTTCATAGTACCCTTGAATGATCTTTTGTATTTGTGTGATATCAGTTGTAATATTTCTCATTTTGTTTTAAATTGAACTTATTTTGATCTTCTCTCTTCTTTTCTTGGTTAATTTCACTAACGGCCTGTCAATTTTATTTACTTTTTCAAAGAACCAGCTTTATGTTTCATTTATCTTTTGTGTTGTTCTTTGTCTGTCAGGATTTCATTTAGTTCTGCTTTGGTCTTTGTTATTTCTTTTCTTCTGCTGCATTCTGGTTTGGTTTGTTCTTGTTTCTCTGGTTCCTTGAGGTGTGACTCTAGATTATCTATTTGTACTCTTTCAGGCTTTTTGATGTAGGCATTTAATGCTATGAACTTTCTTCTTAGCATCACCTTTGTTGTATCTCAGAGGTTTTATAGGTTGTGTCTCTATTATCGTTCATTTCAAAGAATTTTTTAGTTTCCATTTTGATTCATTATTGACTCAATGATCATACGGGAGCAGGTTATTTAATTTCCATGTATTTGCATGGTTTTAAGGTTCCTTTTAGAGTTGAGTTCCAATTTTATTCCACTGTAGTCTGAGAGAGTACTTGATTTTTTTTAATTTTTGAGACTTGTTTTGTGGCCTATTATATGGCCTATCTTGGAGAATATTCCATGTGCTGATGAAAAGAATGTATATTCTGCAGTTGTTGGGTAGAATGTTCTGTAAACATCTGTTAAATCCATTTGTTGTAGGGTATAGCTTAAGTCCAAAAATTTTTGTTTGTTCACTTTCTGTCTTGATGACTTGTCTAGTACTTTCAGTGGAGTATTGAAGTTAACCAGTATTATTATGTTGCCATCTATCTTATTTCTTAGGTTTAGTAGTAATTGTTTTATAAATTTGGGAGCTCCAGTGTTAGGATTGTGATATTTTCCTGTGGGACTAGTTCTTTTAGCATTATATAATGTCCCTCTTTGTCTTTCTTAACTGCTATTGCTTTAAAGTTTGTTTTGTCTGATGTAAGAATAGCTACTCCTGCTCCCTTTTGGTGCCCTTTTGCATAGAGTATCTTTTCCTACCCCTTTACTTTATGTTTATGTGAGGCCTTATGTGTTAGCTGAGTCTCTTGAAGACAGTAGATACTTAGTTGGTGAATTCTTACTCATTTTGCCGTTCTGTACTTTTTAAGTGGAGCATTTTGACCATTTACATTCAGTGTTAGTATTGAGATGTGAGGTACTATTCTATTCATCATGCCATTTGCTGCCTGAGTATCTTACTTTTTTAATAGTGTGTGGTTGTTTTATAAGTCCTACAACATTTATGCTTTAGATGTTTTATGTTCTATTTTGGTGTATTTTGAGGATTCATTTCAAGATTTAGAGCTCTTTTCAGCAGTTCTTGTAGTGCTGTCTTGGTAGTGGCTAATTCAGCATTTGTTTGTCTGAAAAAGACTTGATCTTTCCTTCATTTATGAAGCTTAGTTTCACTAGATACAGATTCTTGGCTGATAATTGTTTTGTTTAAGAAGGCTAAAGATAGTACTCCAAACCTTCCTAGTTTGTAGGGTTTCTGTTGAGAAATCTGCTTTTAATCTGATAGGTTCCTTTATAAATTACCTGATACTTTGCTTCACAGCTCTTAAGATTCTTTTCCTCATCTTGACTTTAGAATGCCTGGTGATTATGTGCCTAGGTGATGATCTTTTTGCAATGTATTCCCTGGGTGTTCTTTGAGCTTCTTGTATTTGGATGTCTAGATCTCCAGGAAAGTCAGGGAAGTTTTCCTCTATTAATCCCTCAGATATGTTTTTCAAACTTTTAGATTTCTCTTCTTCCTCAGGAACACCAGTTATTCTTAGGTTTGGTTGTTTAACAGAATCCCAAACTTCTTGGAGGCTTTTTCATATATATTTTTTTTTTGAGACAGACTTTCACTCTTGTTGCCCAGGCTGGAGTGTAATGGGGCGATCTCGAATCACTGCAACCTCCACCTCCCAGGTTCAAGCAATTCTCCTGCCTCAGCCTCCGTAGTAGCTGGGATTACAGTTGCCTGCCACCATGCCCCACTAATTTTTTTGTATTTTTAGTAGAGACGGGGGTTTCACTATGTTGGCCAGCCTGGTCTCGAACTCCTGACCTCAGATCCACCTGCCTCAGTCTCCCAAAGTGCTGGGATTACAGGCGTGAGCCATTGTGTCCAGCAGCTTTGTTCATTTTTAATTCATTTTTCTTCATCTTTGTCAGATTAGGTTAATTCACAAACCTTGTCTTCAAACTCTGAAGTTCTTTATTCTACTAGTTTGATTATATTGCTAAGACTTTCCAGTGTCTTTGGATTTCTCCAAGTGAGTTCTTCATTTCCAGAAGCTGTGATTTTTTTTTTTTTTTTTTTTTACGCTATCTATTTGTTTGGAGATTTTTCCATCCATGTCCTGTAACATTTTTTTTAAATTTATTTAAGTTGGTACACCTTTCTCTGGTGCCTGCTTGGGTAGTTTAATAATCAACCTTCTGAGTTCTTTTCTGGCAATTCAGAGATTTCTCTTTGGGTTGGATCCATTGCTGGTAAACTAGTATAATCTTTTGGGAGTGCTAAAGAACCTTGTTTTGTCATACCAGAATTGTTTTTCTGCTTCCTTCTCATTTGGGTATACTATGTCAGAGGAAACATCTGGGACTCAAGGGCTGCTGTTAGGATTTTTTTTGTCCCACAGCGTGCTCCCTTGATGTAGTGCTCTCCCCCTTCCCCAAAGGATGGGGCTTCCTGAGAGCTGAACTACAGTGATTGTTATTTCTCTTCTGGATCTAGCCACCCAGCAGATCTACTGTACTCCAGGCTCCAGGCTGATACTGGGTAGTGTCTGCAAAGAGTCCTGTGATGTGGTTCGTCTTCAGGTCTCTCAGCCATGGATATCAGTACCTGCTCCAGTGGAGGTGGCAAGGCAGTGAAGTGGACTCTGTGGGGGTCCTTGGCTTTAATTTTGTTTATTGGGATAGTTTTGTGTTGCTTGTCCTCCAGCCAGGAGGTGGAGGTGTTAAGAGAGCATCAGCTGCAATAGTATAGGGAGGATACAAGCTTGCCCTAGGGTCACTTGGATAAGATTTGAGTTTCTCAGGTGGTGGGTGGGGCCTCAGAGCTCCCAAGAGATTCTGTCCTTTGTCTTCTGGCTACCAGGGCAGGTAGAGAAAGACCATCAGGTGGGGGCAGGTTCAGATTCCCCTTGGACAGGGATAGCTGTGCCTGCTGTAGGGGATGGGGTGTGATTCTCAGGCCAATGGATTTATGTTCCCAAGGGGATTATGGCTGCCTCTGCTGTGTCATGCAGGTTGCCATGCAAGTGCTGGAAAGCTGGCAGTTACAGGCCTCATCCCGTTCCCACACAGCCTGAAAGGCCGATCTCACTCCTACCATGCCCCCACCAACAGCACTGAATTTATTTCCAGACAGCAGGTGAGCAGAGCTGAGAATCTGCTACCAACCTCCCTGCCGAGAAAGCAAGCAGGGCTTTCTACCTGCCCTGGTAGCCAGAAGACAAAGGACATAATCTCTTGGGAGCTCTGTGGCCCCACCCACCACCTAAGAAACTCAAATCTTATCCAAGTGACCCTAGGGCAAGCTTGTATCCTCCTTGTATTATTGCAGGTGATGCTCTCTTAAAAGCTCCACCTCCTGGTTGGAGGACAACCAACACAGGGAGGTTTCAAGCCTCCCTGCCTGCTGTGGCTTCTGTGCTGGTGTCTGCATTCCCAGTTCACCCCCTCCCCTGGGTTCCGTCCAGGAAACTGTGTTCCATCAAAACTTCAGCTGGAAGTTTTCTTCTCCCTGTGGTCTTTCCCCAATTCCACTGGCAGCCCTCCTGAAGGACCTTTGTGAGACAAAGTCAGAAATAACTTCCCTGGGGACTGAGAGAGCCCACAGGGCTCTTCCTGCTATTTCCTATACCCCTGAATTTTGCTCAGCTCTCTAAATTCACCCCAGCTCCGGGTAAAGTCAGATCCTTCTCTCACGATCTAGACCTTCAGGTTCCCCACTGAGGATGTATGTTCAGGGGTGGATGATCCCCTTTCACACTTTCACACTTTGGGCACTCATAGTTTTTTGACTGTCTCCTGGAGCCTGCCGCAGCAATCCATTTCCTTCAAAGATGCCATTTTGAATATCCTCACATTTAAATAGAAAAACCTATTAAGATATATTAAGAGAATGATGTTCCTAATAGGTTTCAAAAGGATATGAAACCCATGGTAAATAATAAAATATTTGAAGAAATTAGGAGGGTGGGGAACCAATATAATGCAGTGGTCAAAAGCAAGGGCTTTGCAGTAGGATAGACTTGGTCCACATCTGGCACATTAGTTTCCTGATATTGGGAAAATAGCTTAAATATTTCTCATAAGATTGGTTTAAAAATTAAATGAGATAATGGATATACATTTCTTATTCCATTGCCTTGTACGTTATGGAAAATCAACATGCAATAGGTCCTATTGCTAGAAGCAAGATAAAGACGAGCATTGGAAAGATTTCTAGGGAGAGAAGACATCACATGCAAATGTTAAAGTGTGAAACAGCATAGTGAGTTCTGTATAACATTGGTATATGTAGAAAGGTATAGGAAAATGATGCAAGACAGGTAAAAAGCAGCCCTCCAACAAGCTGGCTTTTGTCATAAAGACAGAAATGGAGTCTCCAATGTAAAAATATCAGTAAGTAAATATTGAAAGATTTTAGGAAGAAGAATGCTTGATCATTTCAGCAAAAAAAAAATCTGACAATTGCCTGGAGGGATACATTAGAGAGAGACCATGTTTGGAAGTAATGAGACCTATTAGAATCTAATAAAGGATGGTATTCTCACAAATGAAAAGATGTTGTGCTTCCTCTAATATTGAAAACCATTAAACACAAAATGAATACTTTCAGGTAAAGAAAAAACCAAACCCAAAAAACAATGACCCTAAGAGCATGAAGCCACCCCAGGAGCAGAGTCAGCTTCCAAATCCTTCAGAGGCCGGCAAAACCTTCCCTGCGAGCCATCTTCAGACTCCTCAGATGCCGCCAACAACTCTATCCAGCAGTTTCTTCATCAAGGTACAATTTCCTGAGTCCCATACCTCATTCCTCCCTATCATAATTTACAGGGATCATTAGACTGTTGGAAGAGCTACTGCTGTAATCTCTGTCTACAATCTTAGTATGAAATTATGCCACTCAATCATTTGTTGAATTCGTACAGTGAGATAGCACCACATCATAATCTTTACTATCTAAAAGGCATTCATTTATATAATGATTTCTAACTTTAAGAGGGTTATTATCTTGTATTGCTCCCGTTGTAGAGAGGGTAAGAGAGAATGGCCAGGCAAGCAGAGATGAAGACAAGAATGTGTTCAGATCCTACATTCCAGTTCCTTTTACCCATTTCCTCTTTGCTTATTAGTAATATTTCTGATTTTACTTTCATAGTTCCAAGTTCCTACCCCCATTACATATTTTGACACATGCTATTTTCTTGATGGGTATCTATTTCTCCTATATCATCACTGGTGGGAATCTCCTCAAATTTTACGGGCCAACTTAAATTTTTTCCTCTGGCAAGTTCTCACTGATACAAGATACTGGAACTGATGAGTCCTCCCATTCTTTGCTTTCACAGAGTTTCCTGTTAATGAGATTAAATTACTAATTTCATAGATGTGAACAGAGACTTACTTCATAATGTGTTCTCCATACTTCCTTGATCTGAGATTTTCCTTAACAGGGTCAGCATCGCTCAGGTTGTATCTGTGGACCAGAGAAAACCTACAAATTCAGCCTAGAACATGGAGCAACAATGACAATAATTCTGTTTCTACTTTTTGAGCACTTAACTAGATGTTGGTTCTCACGTGTTGTTCCTGATGTACATTATCTCATTCTCTCTTCATAACCATTAGGAGGAGGCTAATTCTGCCCCAATTCACAGAGAAGAAAATAGAGGTACACAAAGGTTAAAAATCTTCCTCAAGCCTTCAAGAAAGTTGAGTCATTATTCGTATCCAGTCTTATTTAAACCCAAAACTTGAAAAATTAATGATTATATATGGCTTTAGATGAGGAATTTATATATGCCATGTCAGTAATTTATTTATTGGTTGCACAATGATTGCATAGCACATACTTTGTAAACCTTCTGATAACAAATGTGGTGACCAGTGGTGATCAGAGTGTGTTCTAATAAGTAAACCACTCTCCAGAACTAGAATCTTTTCATTTGCCTTTCTAACAGAGTGCATTTTCTATATTACATAACTGAATGACAGAAGTGATAGAACTATGGAAATGAAACTAGTATTAATAAATTTTAAAAAAGATATAAAAATAGTGAAAATAAAGGAAGTTATACTTCCTTGCCCTCGGTAAAGAGTATTTTTAAAAAATCACTTACTTGGTAATGCTAAGGTAAGTTCTTGCATATTTCTAAATACATTTGAGAACTTTGAAGGATTCTAGCTAGCTGATGCAGACTACAAAATAGCAGAATTCTGCATCTGCAATTGTGAATTTTAAAGAATCTTTCTAGCAAAGTGATGATCAAAACATCTAAAGCAACATAGAGAAAGAGTAATTTTATCAAATAAAATTTATGTGATTAAGTTTCTCACTATTAATTAAGTATATTCATTGAGACCTTACTAGTCTCTGTGTCTTTTGATGTTTACAAGGTATGCGTTCATGAAGTGCTTCCTGACTCAAGAGGATTACTGTCTTTTGTTGATCTAGGTTTGGAGAGAGATTGTGGGGAAGTAGCCAAATGGAGGAAGATGAATACAAGAATATGTTCATTATCTTTATTCCAGTTACCTTTCATCCTTTCACTTCGTTCATGACCACATTCCAGGTTTTATTTTAAACTATCCATGGTCTTTTCCAAATCAGAAGCTTTGACATATAGATTGCTTCTTTTGCTGGGATCACTTTCTCCAGTCTCTTCTCTAACTCAACTCTCCACAGGCCCTAGCCTAAATCCCTTCCTAGAGCAAGTCCTCACTGGCACCCACATTTCAGTTTAGATGAGATCCTCCCATTTTTGGTTCTCTCTGGTTCTTCATTTATGAGCTTTCCTAGCTCCCTTTACTTTTCCTAATAGCATTTAAACAATTGGAATGTGGGAGTGATTTTCTCCTTTTCTATGCCATAAGCTCAGATGGTAGGTAGCATCTACCCCAGAGGAATACAATACAAGAGGGGAAAAAGTCAGTTCATGCTATGTACATCAATTCTTATTCCAGATTACCTTTTGCTCAGCAGTGATATGACCCTTGTAGTCACCTGCACTGAGGGTTCAGAAGCCTGTACCTGTGGGGAAGGGGCAGGAAACTTGGAGGAAAAGCAAAAGGAATTAAATCATTATTTTTTACAGTTGTTTCTCACCCAAGCCCCAAGCTGCATTCTGACCCAGCGGCAGATACCTGCAGCCACCATGTACACATCTTGGAAGAGAAGCTTCCTATATTTAAGGATTCTCTATTTTGATTTTTTTTGTTTGTTTGTTTTCATTGTTGTAATTTTTAGTTAGCTTCAAAAAGCTGTATTTCCCTCTATAGTTTATGCAGGTGTTGTTTGAAGAACAGAACCTGCGCCTTTTTGCCATCTGGGCACAGGTGGCTATGGAACAAGCCCTTGCTCAGTCATTGCAACCTAAGATCCATTTTATTTGTGCCTTTTCAATGACTTAAGTGGCATCTCCAAACAGCTATGCTTTTATCACTCATATTTCTTTGAAAGGATTATGTGAGAATTTCTAAGTCCCATCTGCTAAAATATGAATCACAATCCTTGCTACAGCTGTACAAATGATTGTGCTGTATGTGAACTTCCCTGGAGCACAGGAATCCCAGGAGGATCGTATGCCTTCATGGCAGCCATTTATTCTTGGGTGTCCAGCTATCGCCTGTAAATACAGTGTCTGTCTAACTGCTTTCTTGGTGACTCCCCAGATGAGTATAGTCCTGTTCCACTGATCATCAGGTTTCCTCAGATTTTCTCTATGGTATATGTTCTATATTCATTGAGATTTAAAACTAGCAGCCTATTCTTATCATTGATTTTTTTCTGCTCTGTATACCTAAAGCAAGCAACACAAATTGACATGAATCAGGAGGAGGGATGGGAGGGGAGATAATTACTCTGAGAAAAAAATTACATAGTGATTTAAAATATTATTCAACCAAAGATTATATTTTTCTCATCTAATTCTACTCTGGTTACGGGACTGTTTAACTGAAATGAATCTGAGAAGATAATACTCCAAGGTGTTCTTGCCAATAAGTGGCAGAAATGAATAGAGAAGTTCCTTTAATAAAAAGCTTCCCATACCAATTCGATCTAAGGTTTCTGTCAACAAGGTAAACAGAATATGAGACAGCAGTTAATCAGAGCACACATACAAATCCCTGCAGAGACAGGGTAATAACAGTAACAGAAAGTGTATTTCTACTTTTTAAGCACTTACTAGGTGCTGGTTTTAAAACCTGTGTTCTTTATGTATATTATTACATTCTTTCCTCATAACAGTCATGATTGATGCTATTCTCAGCCCTCATTTTACGTAAGAGACAACCAAGATAGAGTTTTAAAATATTCCCCAAAATTCACAGGCAGTGAGCGTGCTAAATGTAAATTATGTGCACTTTATGTACTTTTTCTTATCCATTCTTCCTTACATCACCCAGGTGATGTTATTGTTAGTCACATTTCACATTTCTTAACACCAAGGATCTTAGAGGTCAAAACTTTACTCAAGATAATAGTGATTTTTAGTGTTAGAGCCAAGATTCAAATCCAGCCTTAATGAACTCTAAAGCTTCAGCATTTGATGATCACATATTGCTTCCAAAGTCAGAATATAGATGTTGAACTGTCTCATATATTTACATATATTTAAAATTAGACATTGTTTTTGTTTGGATTTGTTTTCATAATCTAGTTTCTGCAAGGCTCCTAAGGAAAAATTACATGCTGTAAGTCTCTGTATCATCCTATGTTTTACATTGCCGTGTTAAGACCCCTGTATTCATCTGCACCCAATAATCAGATGTTGTATCTTCAGTGGAAGTCAAAAGAAAAATTAGATGACAATTTTCCAAGCTAGTGTCTCATCTAGGTGCCAATTGCACTGTGACCACACTATTTTCTAATGACTCGTCCCTGTGTACCAGTTGAAGACAGGTCTCCCATGTACAGAGTTCTCAATTTTTCATGTTGTTTTGTTGTTGTTATTGTCCTGACTGGTAAATTCCAAAATTTATATTTCCCTATATACTTTCTAAGAGTTTTATATGTCGTATAGTGCTACCTATCATGCCTGTTTGCCATCTTGCTTCAGGTGGATAGATAGAGGCTGTGCCTAGTAAAGTCATTATCCGCTCTGATCTTCTCTGCTATCTTAAGGACAAAATTGGACATCTCAGGACAGTCAGTTTTCTGATGCATAATGACTTGAAAGAAAGTTCCCAATTGCCTAAATATGTGATATAGCAATTTCTGCAGCCATAGGAATCATCATGCTGTGCCTAAAGACTCTAGGACAGGGATTCTAGAAAGAAGCACGTGTCTCCATGGCCACCAATGCTTAATAACACAATGCATTACTTCTGCTTTGTTGACCAGCCAACAGGTTGTCTCACCACTCACTCTAAGATTGACCAGCTGAGCAGGAAAGCATTGTCCTTACTCATCATGGTTTCTCCCAAAGATTTTGTGTATGATATGGGTTCATTGTGCTTTTGGATTCAAAATGTGAAGAAGACAGAAGCATGACCTTTAGTCATGACTCCTCTGAAGCACAGATCACATAATGGCCTGAATCGTGATCGGGTATGGTAGCAGGGATTAATTACTATGAGACAAACAATCAGCTACTGTATTAAAATATTACTCAACCAAATCTATGATTTTAGGCATGCAAATTCTGCTGAAATAATGAGAATATTTGTTTCAACTTATTTTGAAAAGAAAATTACTCAAGACGGTTTTATCAATGATATTAAGCTGCCACATTGTACAAGGGAATAAAGAGGCTTTTTTGGTAATCCTCCTATACTTCCTCAATCAGGAGCTCCCTATAACTGGGTCAACATAAAGCATTAAATATCTTTAAACAGGGCAGACATTAAAAAAAAAAACCTGCACAGAACATAAAATAACAATGAAAATATTTTTCTGCTTATTGAGCGTTTATTAGATGCTGGTCTGTGTTCGTTACAAAATTATGTCATATATTCGTCATTGTATCTCCATAAAGATACAATTTTTATCTCATTTCACATATGACAATCATGAGATATCAAGAGGTTAAAAATACCATTCAGGCTAATAAAAACAGTGTTAGAGTAAGGATTCATATCCAGCTTTAGTCAACTAAAAAACTTTGGTAATTATGCAAATATATTTCTTCCAGTATAGGACCGTATATATTAAAATTTCAGCCATATATCCACAAATATTCATATATGTAGTGCTGAATTTTTCATTTGTTTTCATAATCCAGATGCTACAAGCCAGAATAAGGTGCATAAGGGGCCTATAGGGTTGGGTGTTCGAAGCTGTAATCAACAAGCAGGTTTTATAGCCCATTTTTCAATCTATTTAAGGATCAGAGAAATATATTTTATAGATGAGTCTCTATATATTGGAGATGAGTCTCACTCTGTTGCCTAGGCTGGAGTGCAGTGACTCAATCAAAGCTCACTGCAACCTCAAACACCTGGGCTCAAGGGATCCTCCTGCCTCAGCTTCTCAAGTAGCTGGGGCTAAAGGTGCACGTTACCAGGCCTGGCTAACTTTTAAAAATGTTTTGTAGAGATGAGGCCTCACTATATTGCCTAGGCTTATCTTCACCTCTTGGCCTCAAGTGATCCTCCTGCCTCAGCCTCCTGAGTTGCTGGGGTTACATGCGTAAGCCACTGCATGCAGCTTAAATGTTCTTTTTTTTTTTTTTTTTTTGAGACGGAGTCTCGCTCTGTCGCCCAGGCTGGAGTGCAGTGGCCGGATCTCAGCTCACTGCAAGCTCCGCCTCCCAGGTTTATGCCATTCTCCTGCCTCAGCCTCCCGAGTACCTGGGACTACAGGCGCCAGCCACTCGCCCGGCTAGTTTTTTGTATTTTTTAGTAGAGACGGGGTTTCACCGTGTTCGCCAGGATGGTATCGATCTCCTGACCTCGTGATCCACCCGTCTCGGCCTCCCAAAGTGCTGGGATTACAGGCTTGAACCACCGCGCCCGGCCTTAAATGTTCTTAAAAGTCTTTCATTAGTGACATTAGAGGAAGTCACACATGATTTTCCCGACACCCTCTATCCTTACTTTAACAAGATGTAAAAAGACAGGTGCTGGGAATGCCCTAGTGGAATCTGGAATTATCCTGATTACTGTCGGGAATCCTGAAGGATTCTGAATATCTGATGCACACCACAGGACCAACAGAATCCCGCCCCTGGAACTGTGCTTTCAGGGAATGCTTCCAGCAAAGGGAGGATCAGCGTGCCCAAACAACCAACACATGAGTTTCCTGGAACCTGAAGTGCAAATTACAGAAGTCAATTTGTGTATTTGCTTGATGAGAATAGCTTCTATCACTTTGGTTAATGTTGTTCTGAAATTTGCTGCCCTTATAAACTGGGAGGGTTATTTAGCAAAAATAACCTCAATGGACCGGCTTAACCAAGTTGGCCTAGATGGGTTTTCAGCAGAAATAGAGCCAGGACCCAATCACACACCAATAAAATTTCAACCAACAGGATGAAGGCTATAATACTGGTTTGTGAGTGTACAGTTGAAGGAGTTAGGATATCTAAATTTACACTCTTCTTCCATAGAAAGTACCAGACAGATGACAGCGAGAACAGAATAAAAGGAAAAATAAGAAAACCAAACATATACAGATGTAGACATGGATATATTAGGTTTTTGTTTGTTTGTTTGAGGTAGAGTCTCACTATCACCCAGGATGGAGTGCAGTGGCATAATCTCGGCTCACTGCAAACTGTGCCTCCCGGGTTCAGGTGATTCTCCTGCCTCAGCCTCCCAAGTAGCTGGGACTACAGGTGTGCACCACCGTGCCTGGCTAATTATTGTGTTTTTAGTAGAGTCAGGGTTTCACCATGTTGGCCAGGCTAGCCTTGAACTCCTCACCTCAGGCGATCCTCCCGCCTCGGCCTCCCAAAGTGTTGGGATTACAGGTGTGAGCCACTGTGCCTGGCCGGGTTCTATCTAATTCTGAAAACCACAAGACAGAAAAAAACTCAATCTTTTCCTGAGAACATGGAGGCCAGAATCACCCCAATTGATGACTTCAATAGAATAAAGTCTTCTCAAGACTTGAGACTGCATCTGCAAACTTCTGGCTTCAGGAAACCTCCAGGAGTGAGCCATCCTCAGACTTCACAGAGAATTATGTAAACCCCATCCAGCCATTTCTTAGCCAAATCACTAGCTTACTATTATCATTTGTGCCTCCTCAAAGGCATATTTGCATTGTATAATGCAATGGAAACCATTGCTGAAGAGGTACAAATTAGTACAAGCATTTTGAAAACCAATTTGGTGCTATCTTAAACCTGAAAACATGCATACTTGCCAATGCTGCAAATCCAACTGGGCATATGAATGAATAAAACGTATACAGATAGTCACAGCAGCATCACGTGAACTGGAAAAACCTTGGAAGAACCCATAACCTACATCAAGAGAATGGGTAAATTAGGGAACATGATGTTGAATTGAAATTAAACAAGCTGCAGATGCATGCATCACAGATGCATATGAGGCATATAATAATTGGAAAAAGCAAATCACAGTAAATTTTAAATAGTATAATAACATTTTTGTAAACTCTGAAACTAATAAAACTAAATATCATATTGCTTGAGAATAAATGCCTTGTGTAGTAAAAGCTATTTTTAGAGCTATTCATCATGATTCAAGACTGCCCTTACCTCTGGGAGCTAAAGCTGGTGGAGGATGCGTTCAGAGAGAAGCATGTTGGTAATCTTTTCTTTCTTAAATTGTTTGAGTGTTTTCATAGCTACTCATGCTACCAAGTATGTAGTTTTAAATGCTGAACAAAAAATTTTATGTTCTAAATTTAGAAATGTACTCCTTTCAGTAAGATTCCATTACTACATGTGGCATACTTAAATAGAGAAACATTTTTAATAAAATGATTTTCATCTTACCTTGATCTGGGGTATCCATCAACAGAATCAACATAAAGCATGGAAAATGTGTGCATCAGGCAGAAATTCAAATACTGCACAGGCCATTATTAACAATGACAATAATTACATTTTTGCTTATTGGGCATTTACTAGGGTCTAGGCTCTAAGCTTATTAGCTATGTATATTATGTAACTTATTCTTCATTACAACACCATAAATATGATATTGTTGGTCTCAATTCATATATGAGAACACTAGCATTCATAGTTTTGGAATAATGTTTCTTCCAATGTGAGAGAGATTTAAAATTGTCTCTAGTATGTTTATATGTATGTGTACACTAACATTTCAGAATAGACCATGTCAGGCTTGGGTTTGTTTAATAGTCTGAACTCTGCAGTCTTTCAGTGATGGAGGAGATGCACGAGAGTGGTTAGAGGCTGTTCTCATCAGAGAGCCACAGCACTGCAGCAGGCTCCTGCAGCCCTCTCACCTACCACTTTTTCAGCAAATGGTGCAATAGAATTATATTAGTGAAAGCCAGAAGTGAGAAAAACAATGATAAATGGACATCATATGTAAATGGTTAGAAATGGGTTTTCACTATTATAATTAATGGTAGTCAAAGTATATGATTTTGCAACACTCTATCCTCACTTGAACAAAGTACAAGAAACAAACTACTGGGAATTCTCCAGATGGAACCTGGAACCCTTCTGATTTTGATTGAGAATCTTGATGATTTCAGTTTGCCTCATGTAGACAGCAAGGGCAACATAATCCTGCCTCTGGAACTGTAGCTTCGAGAGAATCCTTGCAGCAAAGATCACTTTGCTGAACAAAATGATGGAGAGGTTGGTGTATTAGAGCCTGAAGAGCAGATAGCTGCTACCTGCATGTGTACTCATTTGATGAGACAGGTTTACCTATAAATACTCCTCAGTTTGGTTGATTTTCCTCTGAATCATGCTCCCCTCATCACCAGGGAGGATTATCTACCAAAAAATGACACTAAGAGGTGTGCTTTAACTAAGCGGTCTCACATCAGCATACAACACAGATAGATCCAAGAATCTAAGACCAGTGGAAGAAACTTCAGTCATCTGAATCTTGACCATTTCGGACTGCAGACCATAATCCTGGTCCTGTGTGTGCTGAAATGTGGGCTGAGGAAACTAAATGTCAGTATACTATACAGAGACATTAGCAGAGGGAAGAGCCTATAAAAAGGGAGATTTTGAAAAAATCATATATGGAGCCCATACCTACTTGTTAATAGTTCAAACCCTTTTTTTTTTTTTTTTTAATCTTCTACTTCAAAGACATAAGTGAATATCCCTGGAAAATTCTGATTTTTCATACCTACTGGCTTAAAAGGGACACGTGATTTTTTTTAGGTCCAACCCTTCTAAAATAAGCAATGTGTCCATTCCTGTAGCCATAGGAGTTATTCTGCTGCACCTAAACCTCCCTTAGCTTAGGAATCTCAGCCAGGATCATATGTCTTCTACCTCCAGTACAGCCATTTTCCTCTGGTGTCCAGCCAGCCCCGTAGGAGGCAAAACCTGTCAGACCACTTGCTACATGATCCAGTAGCTCTGCAGGAAATCTTTATTCTTACTGATAATAGGTTCTCTCACAAATTTTGTGTGTGATACGGATTATTCCTGGTTTTGATTAGAAACCAGAAGCATAACTTTTTATATTTGATATCTTCTGCCATGTCTCCCTTAAAATAAACAACACAAAATGGTTTGAAATATGAATAGGAATAATTGCTATTTTTTCTGAGTAATAATTCCCCCAGTATTACTATACCAATGTGTTCCTCCTCTACATTCCAGTTTCTTTTCAATCCTTTCTCTTTTGCTGTCTTACCATATATCAGAGTTTAGTTTCAGTATCCATGCTTTTAACCACAGCAAGGGTTTTGATACTTCCTTTGATGTCAGATTTTTCCATCTCAGTTCTCTCCCCAAATATCTTCAACCACAAGGTACCAGTCTAATCTATTCCTTGAGTAAGTTCTCACTAATACCCTCCTCCCAGAATAGATCTTATTTTCTCACTGTTTGCCTTCATACGTACCTTTCTGTTTCTTTATAGCATTTATCATAGCTATAATAAACCTATGACTTCCTTCCCCACTCAGCAATAAATGTAGGTTATAGGTACCCTTTCCTAGGGGAAGACAACACGGGTGGGAGAGGGAGTTTATACTTGTGTGTATCAACTCTTATCCCAGCTTGTCTTTTGTTCTGCCCTGATAATCACCCCCTGTATTACCTACAATCCAGCGCTATGGGGCCTATACCCAAGGCGAATGGGCAGGGAAGGAATGGGCAGGGAAACACTGACCCACAGCAACTTGAGGGATAGGAAACTCTAAGATTTACATTACTATTCTCCAATGTCGTTTCTCGCCCAAGCCCCAAGCTGCCCCTGGCCCAGGTTGCAGACCTCAGCACCACTCCACACACATCAGTTGAGGACAGGCTTTCTCCATGCAGGTTT